ACTGGGTGTTATGCACAAACAATGAATCATGGAACACTACATCTAAAACTAATGATGTAATGTATGGGGATTAACATAATAAAAAAAATTAAAAAAAAAAAAAAAAGAATGTCCCTGATGAAGCAGTAACAAATAGTAATTTTGTTCAGTCTCACGCTTGGGTATGTATCTCCTGACGTTCTGTGATAAGTTGGGAAGAACGCATCAAGTGTTTCTTCTGACCCTGAAGTGCGATGGCGGAAACCACCCGTGTGAGCACTGGAATCCTAAAGTGAACCAGCCCCCCTTCCTCTTGGAATTCCGTTTTTACCTAAAAGAACTACGTTACACAAACGGTGGTTATTCAGGCTTGAGGATTTGGCAGATACATGATGGAAATGAATGTCACTTCAAGGAAAATAACTGAAAATGTGTGGCTAATGTTAAAATGTCGGCTTTCAAGCAAATATGAGAATTTTGGAAAATAAGCCTCTGCCCCTGTGAGCTTGACAATCTCTCATGTGACGAGATTGCCGGGGATATTAACAATTGTGGGGTTTTTTCCCCTATGGTTTGATGAGGTACATCGACTTTTAGAATGTCTATATAATTCAGTGAACCAATGTTTTTCAAATGACAGGTGCATGATACTTTAAAAATAATACATGGCTAAAAAAGTCATTTGAAGTGCAAGATAGACCAAGGACTTTCAATGTAACAAAGCACACGAAGTTCACATGATACGGCTTCAGATTGCACATTAAAGGGCCTACCCTTTAAGACAAATTCATTTACCAAGTTTTAGTGAATCAAAATTTATTCACAATTAACTGAAAAAGGCTATTAAAATATGCCTGAAAACATATCTATTTGAGACTGGATTTTCTCCACATATTTCAACCAAAACTACATACTACCACAGACTGAATTCAGAAGTGTATTTGAGAATCCAGCTGTCTTCTGGAAATCCAAACATTAAAGAGATTTGTAAAACTGTGGAACACCACCACTATTCTCACTAATTCTTTTGTTCTGTAAAATAGTTCTCAAAAAAAACAAAAACAAACCACATTATGCTAGCAGTAATAGCTATTGTCATTTTAAACCAAATACTTTATAATTTTCTGTTTTAATTTCAAGTATGGTAAATATTCATAAATATAACCCATATGAACAAAAGCTCTTTGGAGTGCTCAATTTCTAAGAGTATAGAGGGATCCTTAAGACCAAAAAATATGAAAACTGATCTTAGTAAGTCCATCAGCTCTGTGAG